ACTTAAGTAGTAGAAAGGTCTTACCAGGAAAATGTATTAAAATATGAAGCAGAAAACAACAAAAGTATCTCCAGGTCCTGACTTCAGGTCCAAATTCTAGCAAACCTATGACACAATACTATATATTGTGCAAAGTGCCTCAAAAACTTGTAAGTGCATGAGGAAAAACCAAACACATCAGAAAACTGGGAATGGTAGTTGTTTTTAAAGATCAGGGCTGGTTCTAGGGTGAGGCAGGCAAGCGACAAGTGCACAAAATGTAAGGGGTGTGGCTCTGAAAGTTCAGGCCTCCTTATATTGCACATCCTAGGACCTAGCTTGCCTCACCCTACTCTTGGCCCCATGAAAGGGAGAAGATAAACCGTGTCTACAGGAAAGTGGTAGGAATCATTCATAGGCACCAACATTCTCCAACTGTAAGAACCCTGCTTTAACTCAATGTCCTCTTGAAAAGATTGCTGGGAGTGTTCAGAGACGTGGCTTTAATATGCCAGCCTGAGTTATTTCAAAGTTGCATGCACGTGTCCAAAGGCGCCGTGTCATAAACAGGCAAAATCATGCAACTCCAGGTTTCTGCAGTCAAGTTGCGCTTAAAACCAGTACATAAACGTTAGCAGTGGGTAAATGCATCTGACATTTTAAGATCTGCATATGAGCTCTGTGATTAATCTCTGTTGATAGCTAATTAAGGGCTCCCATAAAAGCTAGTTTTAGGGCATGAAACCTTAACATAACTAATGGTGGGCACAGTAAAAAGATCCCAACTCCTCACTATAAGGTGGATACAGATCTTGAGGGAATTCTGCTTACAAAATCTCACTAGAATCTAATCCTCTAAGATTATGCTGAGAGAAAAGGCAGAGAATCAAAGACAGGTTCAACCCAGCAATGAAACAGGAATGCTGAGAAATCTAATTTCTTTACCATGTGGCATCATCATTTTTTCAAATGGTACTTATAGTGCAGACGGCTTAGTTCTTTATTTGAAGTTGGTGGACAGCCCTGAAATTATGGCGTCCATCCCCCACTTGACAAGAGTGTAGAAAGCCCTCCTTGGTAGGCTATAAAAATCACTGACCAGCAACAGGGGGCAGCTGCTCAGGTGAGGCTGCCTGCCTCATTTCAGTCTGCCTTCCACGCCGAATCCAAGACAGCAAAAGCAAAATCATCAGGAGTAAGACTAAGATCACCAACTCACTTTACATGGGGCATCATATGGTCTGTACTTCCTGTCATGGTTTATACCAAAAAGATGGGGTGAAGATCTGCTTCCATTAGCCTGAGCTAACTCTGCCCCTATAAAGCCATCTCCCAAAAGGAAAATTCATAATATAAGGTAACTTGTGCAAAGAGGCAAACCTTCGATCCTTGTACAATATTTTCTAAAGGAAATTAACTAATGAGACTACAGATAATATGTTTATGCCCCTACATAAAAAGTTGGCCTTAAAAATTGTACTTTTGACTTGTCGTATAATTATGTGTCATACAGTATGATCGTAAACATCCCTGTGCACACCCATACATGTATGGACATTAGAAGGAAAGACTCTAAAATGTGAACAGTAACTATCTCTGGGTAGTAGGATCATGAGGGACTCGTATTTCCTCATTACTTCATTTTCTAAATTTTCTAAAGTGAGGATATTATTACTTTAACATATAATAGAGGTATTTTTAAAATATATATGCAACTAAATTGTGCCTGGGACATTTTTTAAAAAGAGATACAAAAGCGAAGATTAATATGGTAACCCAGAACTGAATGAAAAGATGTTAGCACATATACTGATTGTGTTATAAACTCCAATGGCAAAGAGCAATAAAAGGAAAACAAACCAAATAACATATCCAGTATTTTTCTTTATGTAAAGTTACCTGTTTCTCCTTCATTTTTTGCCTTATTTTAAAAGGACCTGCCGCTGAGACCTGTACACAAATGCATCCTGACATAACCCACACACTATGGCATCACACACACTCCCCAGGAATATATTCCACCAGCGGGACCTTAAGCAAAACCTCAAAAGCTTGTCACTCTTTCAGCTCCTTTTCTGAATCCCTCTTCCCATTGTGTTGCTCAACACTTAAGCCCTCAGGGACCATCTGGGCCCAGAACCTGCAATCTCTCTAAAATTTTCCTTTCTTTTTCCGCCTTATCATTCAAAGCTTGCCTCACACACAGTGTTAGGTATTATTCTTAATATATAGCTGAGGACAGCAACTGACACCAAAGAGTGAATGTGGTTTAATGGAGGGTTCATTTCTATTTGAAAAGATAGTTAATATGGAAGGGGAGTGGCCATGGTGTCTATTTGAACTGAGCCTTCAAGGTTCCATGCCCACTCCCTTTCCCCAAGCTCCTAATGAAAGGTTCCCCTGATTTCACATCCAAGAGAGAATGAGGAAGCCTTGCTACCCAGCAGCCTCCTCCGGCCCTCCAAGGACTCCTGATCTCTCCAGAGAAACACACTGAAAGGAGGAAAGGGGGGAACCTTTGCTCTCCATCCCTCAGTGCAAGGAAGAGAGCGTGGCCATGTCCCACTGCAGCCTGGAGGGGTTAAGCACCGTGGCCGAAGTCCCACTATTAGTCCTGTGCACGCACCCTGTGGCTAGGCACCAAAGACACGTGCAAAGTACCAAATAACGCAACTGATTTCACTGAAGATGCTTTTTATAAAGCCAAAGCTGGTGCTCACAAAATGGAGTGAATGTCGTCTGTTAAATCACCATTTCAAAAAGCCCAGCATTTGATGGGCCCATCTCGTCTGCTATTCCCAGCAAGGTTCCCCATGCACAAATGAGCACGAGACCACGGTCCCAAAGCAAAACAGAAAAACTTCAAAGCACCGGATCCCCACTCAGGCTCAGTCTCATCCTTCAGCATATGAGTTCCCGGAACTACATTTTCCTCCAGATTCTACAGAACCGGGGCCACCGCGTTCTTCGGAGGCACCGCGCATTTGGAGCACTAACTGTGGGGCCGCCTGGCACCCGCAGCTTTCACTCAGCCACCTGAGTTATTTGGAGGCTGAG